TGGCTGGTCTGAAGTGTCAAGATGCCAGAGGAGTAGAGAGCAGCATCAGCCTCTGCAACACCAAGTCTGTCTGCTTAACTTCATCAGACTGGCCTAATGAGGCAGCTAGGCACTTAGTTATTTCTCCATGTATCTGCTTCGAGCTATCAACAGCGTGAGGGTTGATGGAGCAGTTTATTGTGGTGCTTTCCAGGCTTTGGGGTTCTCTGTGTGTCTGTGGGCATTGTGCTGAGGAGAGAGACATGTCAAAACTGGTGAAAAGTCATGAGTTCCTGTGTAGTTCAATAGGACAGGTTCACCATGGTACACACTTTCCAACCGCTCACAACTCCCGTTCAATGCCTTTTGCTTCATATTTTATTTCTCGTAGCTACACACATTCTACCACTCACTGTCTATCAAAATGAGCAGGTGTGGGCAGTGCTGGCACTTAATGGTTAAAATGATTGTTTTACATAACTAAAGCATAACCTTGGGAATTAATCTTCTTAGTTGTTAGGGCAAGAAGGTAATTGGATTTTTCCTTCTGGTAACTTTTCTTGGCTTCCCACATTTTCTGTCCCAATCATGAAAGCATGAGGCCATCTGGGCAGGCACTGGTCTTTTGCATGTTCTTCACAAGAATAATTAGCAATGTTTCATCAATTACCCTTTGCAGTTTTATAATAAGTTAGTTATTCCAAGCAAGTTTAAAAAAACACTGTTTGTAATATGTTCTTCCATATTTCATGGCTCATTATATTTTAGCTCTTGCTGCCCCATTTTTATGCTTTATCTACAAGAATATAAGTAAAGAGTTCTTTATTAAAAGTTAAAAGAAACCTGAGAGCTTCCATTGTGTCACAGGATTGTGCATTAGAGAGGATCTTTAACAGGGTATTCAGTCTCCACTGTGCTTGAAATACAGAATAAATAAACTTGGGGAATAAGTTCCTTGTTCATTTGTATTTCTGATCATATGTAATTTAAAAAGATTCACTCTGTAATTTCTGTTCCCTTTACTTGATCTACACTATTACACAGTTGTACTTGGTCCTACATTTGATCTAAGGCTTGTGGGCTCTTTAGTTTAATTTGTAATTTGTCCGTTAATTAAGAGGGAGAAAATGTAGTGCAATGGGTGGAGCTGGGGACCAGGAGTCAAAGCTTCTGAGTTCTTCCTGGCTCTGTTCCTGACCTGAGGAAAATCACTTACGCCTTCTGGCCTGTATTGTCTCTGGGACTCTCAATATAATTATGTTTAAATGCCCCCAAGCAATGATACAAAGGCCGGTAATGGCAAGATAGAAAGTGCTTCCTTTCACAAGCTCCGTAGAGATGTTCACTTGCAGGTTTCAGGTCAAGTCCCCTTTAGGTTCAACCACTACATGGCTCATGTAATGGTGGAAGAACATGGGAGTGTCTACTGTGTACTTCTTTATGAGGAAATTGGTCAACCAGTCTTTGATAGTGATGAAGAAGACAGAGAGGATTGGCTTGGTTTCTGTGATCCCAGTGTGTATGTGCACCTGGGGCAGGAAGGAAAATCCTTTGCCCTCTGGATGCAAGAACATTTGCTGTGATTCACTGAGGAAAGGGAACATCAGTGCCCACCCTGCTGAAACCTTGCACCTTAACTGTCCTTGCACTTCATTTTTGTTTGCATCTTTTTTTTTTTTTTTAAAAAAGCATAATATAAAAACTCTCTGTAAGAACAAAGAAACCAGAGGAATAAATAACCAGTAGGAAATTCCCAGCACATCCCTTTCTGAAGGTTTTAGGAAATACCATTTGTTGGAGGAAACACTGAAAATTAGGAGGAGCCCAGAAGAGGAACTAGCAGGAGACTCTCAGTTGAGATCATTTTTCACTGCCAGGACTGCACTGTGTTGTCTCTCCTTTTACAACTCATTGGCAGGCATTATTACCTGGTGAAAAAATTTGTTTTGCAACTCATCCGAAGTCCTCATAAATCATTAATGCCTGGCTAAGCACAGCATGAGCATCACAAATACTCTGAGAATGAGGGCCCATTCTGATAACCTTGTGTCCAATACTAATGCCTGCTAGTTATTTAGTAATACAAAGGAGCCTCAGCAAGGAAGATCGATGAGTCAGTGAAGTCTCCTGACTTCCTTCTCCTCTCTACCTGCCTCGCCTCTTTCTAGTTCAGAACCTGAGATACGAACAATAAAGGGCTGTTTGTAGTCATCTCTCTGTGGAGAGCACGAGTCAGGGCGACAAGGAGGGACTTAAAGCCTCTGAATGTCCATAGAAAAAGAAGCCGTTTGGGGACTTGGATGCTCAAACCAGCTCTCACAGTACTGGAGATAGCACAGAGAGTGCAATATCTATAGGTGCAGCAGCTGAACTTTGTGTCTTGTTATTCCACAATCTTGGCCACAGTCATGAGTTCAAGGATGGTCTCTACTGACCTGCTTACCCTGAGCTCACCTCCAAAAACCCACAGCCCATTCAGAGTGCAGATAAACTCTGTTTCTTCTCCTCTCCTCTCCATCTATGCAGTTGCTGTTCATAACAGTTGTGCTCTTTGAACACTAGAGTAGTTGATCATGAGCTTTAAAAGGAGGAAATTGAATGAGACGAGGTGGAGATTGACCCTTTGTGTAAGTGTAATCTTAAAATTTGTACAACTTAGTCTTGGTTGGAGCCCTTGTCCTGGAAGGCTTCTGCAAGGAAGGTTGTAAAATCACATATAGTAGAGAAACGGATTTTGAGTAGGAATTTAGGAAAAGTGCAAAAGGAGATGGAGGACAGTAGTTGGGTAAATTTGAAAAGGGGAATGACAGAAAACAAAAGTGAAATTAAGTAGGCAACAAGAGAGTTTCAGAAAGTGTAGAGGGAAAAGTAACAGTGTTTAAGACATAAAATGATAGAAATTGGTCAGGAAGAAAATGTAGTTGCTGTAAGCGAAAGTAGGAAAATGGACCAAGATAGGAAAAAAAAAAGTAATTTGTATGTGACGAGGGACAGAAAAATACCTCCTCCACAATCTCCTCCAAAATATGCAACTAAGAAAGCACTTGGTGCTGTTCCTGTGAAACCAGAGACCTTAGTCCCTTTGACCCTAAATCAGGTAGAACACCCGTTTGTCCAAAGCATCCTTGGGCTTTAGCCGAGGCATGAAGCATTCACAGTCAAATCATACATTAGGCATCACACCTCCAGCAAAAGCCTGAAACTTTCCTGCAAAACAATGCACATCCAGAGCCCGTTACAGGTTTTGCTCAAAATGTTTCATTGTACTTTAGTTCAGATGAATTTGTTAAAAATAGTCCCTGCTATGGCACCCACAGGACAGAGTGGTTTATTTTCCCCTATTATAGATCTGACACAAGCCTGCTGTTATTTCTGTGCCCTCTCTAATGATCTGCTTGCTCTCTGGAGAGCACTGACCCATTTCAGCTCAGAATAATTAGCCTTTCAGACACTACTGTGTTTCCATTAAATAGACATAAATGTGCAAGGTGACATTTATTTACTAAGGCCTGAAAAATGTGCACCACAGATGTTGGGGCTTGGGAGAATTTCAATTTCTTTTCATGCAACAGTTGTGTATTTGCATGCTTTCATGTTGTTTATCTGCTTAGTGCTTGAATTCTTGCTGAGTTTCACTGAGAAAACAGGAGAGCACAAAGATTATTTGGGTCTTCATTTCACTGTGAGGCCCTTTGGCAATGCTTTGGCAGCCCAGTGCCCAGACCTGACAGTGGCTTTAAATGTGGCTTTAGTTACACAGTCTTCAGGTCCCTTTTAACTGTGTGTAAGGAGGTGACTCCACATAAAGAATTGCTGTTGATTTACAGATCTGTCTGAAGAGGAGTGTGTTCAGGGCGTTACGCAGAGAAAATGAGAACCTTGACCTATTGCAAACATAAAATAAAACCAAAATTCTTTAGTATTTAAAATCAGCTCTTTTATCATCTTGATCACTGGCTTCTGAACTACCAGACTATTGCCCAGGTGAAAAGTATATTACTCATCTTGATAGCCACTTTGGTCTGCAAAGTTGGAGGGAAGTCTTACATCCACACATGAAGTCATGGCATGCTATTATTTCATTCTGTTAGTACCAATAGGCTTTATAAAAGGAGGCATCACGCAAGGTAGGTGCTTTATTGCAGGATGGAAACACTTTCATAGGTTATTTTAATCATTACGATTCTTTCATGATGTGTGAAAGTTGATTGTTGCTGTAAATGAAGCCATTGAAGGCTAAAAAATAAAAATGCTGTGATGGTAAAAATCCTTGGAGTGCAAAAAATGGGAATTGCTGTAAAAGGCAGTAATTTATTCTCTGTGTTAGATTATTTTTTATCATAAGGATGCTTTTAAGCTAATTCTGAAACATATACAATTGTAGTCCATATAGCTGAGGTATACTGCATGATGCATTGATAATTTGGCTAATTTTTTATGGGTGGTAATTTATATATTATTTAGAAGCGCTGTTTTATTCTGTTAACTGGGAGGCTTAACACATTTTTGCTATGTTAAAGGATAAGCTATTTTTGCAGGTCTTATGGTTTCATTGTTTTGACCCATATCCAGTTCATATTGCATCACAGTACCATATTTTTACTAATATTGTTCTAGTATGTTCAAAACTTATTTGCATTTGGATAGAAATTCATTAGCTCTTGATTTTATTATGACAAATTATTTTAACTTTTCTGTGATAATGCGTTCTCTGTGTTTCTGATTTGCTGATGCTGAAATATTTTCTTTTTGGTTTTAACCCTTCCAAATTTAGGATTGTTTTTGCTTTTTTTCTGTATATATATTTCAGTTGTTTAGACCTACTGGTTCCTGCTTTTTTCTTTTTCTTTTTTTTTTCAATATGTTATGTTCGTATCTTCTGTCTGTGTTGAGCCAATCCTACCAACAAAAATATCAGTTGTTTCCTGTTTCTCTACTTCTTTAAAAAAAAAAATGAAAAGTAAAAATAAAAAACTCTTAATGGGAACCCTGGCACTGTCTGTCTTCTCTGTTCTGCAGAAATGTTGAAGGAGTTGAACCAGCAACGCAGAGCGAAAGAGTTTACAGACCTGAAAATTATTGTTGAAGGCAAAGAGTTTGAAGTCCACCAAAATGTTCTAGCTTCCTGCAGCTTGTATTTCAAGGACCTGATTAAAAGGTTTGCCTTCCTTCCAGCTGTGATCTGCTCTGTTCTTTTGTAGGGCGCATTTGTGTCGCTTTTTTTTCCTCCCCTCTCTTGCAGGTTTATGAAGATTGAATCTCCTGTCACAGAGCCAGTAGCCATTCTTTCCACCTTCTCTGAATGTATTTCCAAACTGAGACTCAGACCCATTTGTTACACATCTGACTCGTACAGTGTGATTATTTCTAATAAGTAGAGGCCAGTTTTGGCCGAAGAAAGTGTTTCACCACTAAGAGACCTAAGATTTAAACTCAACTGCTAATGGTGATTCAGACCACAACTAAGAGCTATTGCTGTCAATGTTTTCAAGGGACTCTGTCATATACAACAAAAGTCTGTCCTTCGGGCTACAGTAAGCCATCAGCATCCTGGTGAACGATGCTGAGACATCATGCTAATAAAGCATTTTGAGTATCATAATCCCTTCACCCTGAAATCTTTGTTACATGCTTTTGTGTGGCTTTTATGGGCAAAGGGATTGATATTTTTATTATTTGTGGGCTTTTGGAAGAAGAAAAGACAACTGATGAATTTCTTTAGAAAAGATTGGAAACAAGACAGTTTTCTGGTCAAAATATAGCTCAGTCTGCATGTTAGACTAAGGGTAGCTTTTTTCTACAGACACTCTAGCTTAGGGTAGGTAGAATATGTACATTTTCTAAACATCATGTCTCCGCCTTTGCATTTTCCCCCCTCTGTTTCTAGCTGGTTGATTTTAAACAGTGCATGATAATATTTTTTTTCCATTACATTGATTTTTCAATTTGTATGCTTCATATACTTGCATAGGAATAAATTGGTACTCTCGTATTATTAGTAAGTTAGAGTAGCAAGTAGGGAGGAAAAAAAACATGAGGATAACTTTCATTTTTCTCTCAATCATCAGCAAATTAATGCAGCTGCTGATTTTGCCTTGCAGTATTTTCCTGAGCAGACTGAGCCTGGACTGTGCTAAAAAATGGGATTAAAGAACATTTTGCTTGCTTCAAATCCTGTATTTAAATTTTGCCAACTAACACAATAGTGACTGTATTTTATTTCAGGATGGCATATTGGCTGGTATCTCCTTTCAGTGTATTATGTCCTTTTGCACAAAGCTTGTGTTATAATTATGGATATATATTACATTTCTATGATATAACCGTGCTGACTGCCTTATCAATTATTCATAAAAAATATGTTGGCCTAGGAAGCATGTCTTTTCCCCTCTGTAAATCTAATGATTGCTAGCTGTAGCTATGCCAGATCTCTCTTGTCCTTTCTCTTCTGTCTGCTCATTATCATATAATTGTTAAGGCTACAGTATATTCTTTTCAGGGTGATAAGG